GGAGTTTTTTTTTTCCATTTAAATAAATGTAGAATTTTATATCTCTGTGTGTGGAACTGATCATCATTCTTTCACAATCTACTAAATACAGACTACTTCATTATAAAGAAAAATAAACAATAAATATGAACAAATATATGTATATTCATAATCTGACAAAAAATATGTCATAAACTAGGTTAGTGGATAATTCGGCAGCAAAAGTTATTCTAGAAAATCAGTGCACAATAATTTGAGAAATCCAAACATTTAGTGAAAAAACAATATTTTGTGGGGAACAAATAAAAGTGTTGCACTAAATATGGTAAAATGTTACACATTGCTATTTGTATTATAAAATCCATTAATGAAAAACATTCATGAATGTATTTATATATAAGTATATACTATAAAATTAAAATACATTTCTTTTAAATGTATAGCATATTTTTTAATAAGGCAACAACATATGATAGATACGATAGGACAAAACAAATACAGTGCAGCACAAACTGTTTTTATACAGTCTATGAGCACAAAGCGCTTACAATATGCGCATCCGGTGTGCAGAATGATGACGTTACAGCCTGACGCCGTGTTGCTTCAAGCGCATCATTCTGCACACCGGATGCGCACATTGTAAGCGCTTCGTGTTAAAAACTGCAAAGCACAAAGGGAAGAGAAATTGATGCATAGTGTATTATATCTGTGCAACAGTTATTGAGCCTTTCTTTTAACAGTTTTAAATTTCAGTTACTGTGCACGTTAAAAACAATTTATAGTCTTTTCTACGCCCGTGTTTTGTTCTCACAGACACCCGGTAGCAAGTAACAAAACAACATTAAACTCCGGCAAGAAGATAAAGTCCTTTTTGCAAAATCATAGACATGTATTTACAAATCAAGTATAATGGGAACACAGAATGATCTTGGAGAGAGCTTTACCGAGCTGACTGTCGTAACCGAATGCGACCAGGGTTTAAAGGCTGAACGAATGACTGACAGCCACAGCGGAGAAAAGAGTTTGTGTGAACTTTAATGTAAGGACTTAAATATTCATATGTAGCTCACATTAAAGGGATATGGTTTCTACGTGTATTTACGCTTTGATTCAGAAGAGCGTACGCTGCTTGCGTTCAGCGGATATTCTCTAAAATCCGGAGAGACAGAGGAGACGAATTGTTGAATAAAGTCGTTATTTTTGTTTTCTTCACGTACAAAAAGTATTCTCGTCGCTTCATAACGTTACTGTTGAACCACTGACGGCAGATGGACTATTCTGAAGATGTCTTTCATACTTTTCTGGACCTTGACAGTGTAATTTACGTGGCAGTCAATCGGACAGTC